TTCCTCAAGGGTGTGGCCTGTTTCCAAAATATAGTAAAGCCTGCTAGCTCTTTGTGGATCCTGAATCTGCTGTTTTATCTGGATTTGAGCTAGCAGCAGACCTTATTGCCTGCTGATTCTAGGAGTCACCAGTGAGCTATCTTATCTGTAGACTGTCCTTGGATTCAGTCACCTCAGAAGCCAAAAGCCTGTCATCAGTCCTGCCAATCTTGGCTGTATCGTTCCTGGAAGATAGAGATCAGTCAAGAGATAACTGGGTGAGCCAATCCCATGAAATAATCTTTCTTTATATATACATATATCAACTTTACAAGAGAACCTAGTCTAACATAGCATTCTAAACTGTGGTAGTCACAGCAACAGGTTGTCCGGTGTTTTCTCTGATTCAGGAGCTCGTTAAAAAGTCACTGTGACTCAGTATCAACTTGATGACAGTAAGGTGTTTTGGCTTGGTTTATTTATTTGGTTTTGTTTTGTTTTCAGGTTTTTTTTGGAGCATTTTGTTTATTTGAATCACCAAAGGCATTAATCATGGCACCACCAGGGCTCCTAATTGAGCCATAATGATACTATTGATGCTATTGGCAGCAACCAACACTACAAATTAGGCTTGCTTTCTTTTTCCTTTTTAATCATTGGAGAGCAGGTTTACCAACACACCATTGGGAGTGAGCCATAACTAATAATGTCATTTGACGAGTATTTATTGGGCCCCTATACATTTTCAGAAGGGAGCCCTCAACGCTGTCAGGTGTTTTAGACTGCTAGCCACATGAGTGGCAGTTCAAACCCACCAGCTGCTCCAAAGGAGAAATAAGAGGCTATTTACTCTTATAAAGATTTACAGCCTCTGAAAACAACAACAATAAAAACAGCCTCAGATAACTTACATACAGTCATGATGAGTTGGGGTAGGTGCACTAGTAGCACAAGCTGACCAGTTTGAAACCGTTACCTGCTGCACTGTGGAAGAAAGTAGAGCTTTTTACTCCCAAGAAGATTTGCAGTCTTAGAAACACATAAGGGCAAGTTCTACGCTGTTATACAGGATCACTGTGAGACAGAATTGACTCAATGACAGTGACTTTGCCCTTTTGGTTTATGAATTGGGATCAGTTTGATGGCAGTGAGTTTGATTTATTTGGTACTAAGTTTCAGATATTGTTCCAGGTCTTGAGTATATAACAGTAAGAAAAGTAAACAAAAAGCTTATTTGTATGAAGCTTCTATTCTCATGGTAGGAGATGGGTAATAAAAAGATAAAGTAAAATATCAGAGTGAGTAGAGTATGTCAGATTTGATCAATGATCTTTGGGAAATTAGAAGGCATAAAACTTACAGATATTACAATGATCTACATATAGCCTCCTCCCTTGGGGCCAGACAACAGGAAAGTGGGTGAAGGGAGACATCGGACAGTGTAAGACATGACAAAATAATAAAATTAATGAATTATCAAGGGTTCTTGAGGGATGGAGGGTTGGGGGAGGAGGAAAATGAGGAGCTAATACCAAGGGCTCAAGTAGAAATAAAATGTTTTGAGAAAAAAAAGTTTTAAGAACGATGATGGCAACAAATGTACAAATGTGCTTGACACAATGGATGGATGGATGGATTGTGATGAGTTGTACGAGTCCCCAATAAAATGATTTAAAAAATAAGATTCACAGATATCTTGGAAAAGAGTATTGTAGGGAAAGCTTAGGCTCTATGGAGCATAAATATTCCTTCAGTATTTAAAACACATTGAGGGAGGGAGTTGACTGGAGTAGGTAGAATAAAAGGGAGTCTGTAAGAGAGAATTTGGTCTGTATACTTAAGCACTATTTTATTTTATTTTTGAAGAAAATAAAGTTGCAACATACATTACTAGATGAATGATACATTATTAGCAAAGATAATAGCTCACATTGTTTTAATTCCCAGAGCCATCTATGTGATTGAGGAAAATGGAATTTAACTGAAGGTTTAAGTAAATTGCACAGAATTATAATATGTAGAACTGATTAGGACCTATATTCATGCGTGCTTACTCTACAGCTATTCTCTTTTGGATCAACTGACAGTGAATTTGAATGAAGACAACCAAAGGGTGTGGTGACGAGGCAGTGGTTCTTTTGTTTGCCATCCATCATTTTCAAGGCGTATCTCCATCTTGCGATGCCTTTTCAACAGAATTTTCCTGCTACTAGGTTTGCTTCAATCCCAATTATTTTGCAATATTTTGTTTATTTGCTTTGGTTAGCAGATTAAACACACACACACACATACACACACCACTCTGCCTCCTAATTTACAATGCTTTTGTTCAGTTTTTTTTCCCCAGTCTTCTGGTTGCCAGGTAAGGACATTTTGGGATCAGGTATGTTTTCTGGTCTTTTGTTCCTGCTTCTAGCATTCTCAACTGTGTGGAGCAAGTTGTACTCTTATTTTTTATGCATATCGGGAGTCATTAGTAGAAGGACTGCACTGCCAACTACTATCCACCATTGGTATATTTACATAGAGTT